TCATAGAACAGCGAACAACTTACCTCAGAATGATAAAGAAAACCTTTACATACTGTGTATTGGGGTTTTGAATGTATTTTAAAATTGAGTGTTATTTTTAAGGGAAAAATGTGTCGGGGCCCTAAAAGCTAAAAAATCATGTGACGAGGCCTATTGTATCCCCCTCTTGTGTATAAGCCCCAAAAAAGCAGCCTTTAATATTTCTAGGGCCTTTCACGTCAGATGTATACAGCTAGAGGCATTATATTTTAAAAAAACCCGATTTTGCCCTTCTCCTTCGTCCCCAGACGCTTTGTCACATCTCATTAAATGGACTGGACTCGATTACGGCGCCTCTTTTTCTAGAACCCCGCCTCTATTTCTCTCTCTTCCAAAATACAAAAGAGCCACCGAAACTCTCGAACTTCCATTTCCAGCGACGGAGTTTATTTTCGCGGGCTAGGTTTTTCGCCGGAAAACGTCGTCCAGGGAAGCGGAATCGGTAAATGACTACGAAATCTCTCATCGCGGTGATTTGAAGGAAAAAGACGGTTTGTCTGGGGTTGGCAGCGCAGAGGAAGCCACTCAAGCCACTCAAACTCTCATGGTAATGCAAAAGCAGGCCCTAGAATGGCGAAACCGCCAAAGAAGAATGGCAAGGGCTAGCCGTGCCATCGTACCCACCCCCAGAAAAACAGTAAGTGCTAGGTTATCCACTATTTGGGGTTTCGAAGTAATGTGCCCTAATGTTAGTGCTAGGTAATGTTAGTTCTAGTTTGAGTCCATGTTAGTTTTATAACAGTCGGCGTTAGTTCTATTAGATGCCGTGCTCGAATGTTAGTGCTAGGCAATGTTAGTTCTAGTTTGAGTCCATGTTAGTTCTATAACAGTCGGCGTTAGTTCTATTAGATGTCGTATGCTAAGTTGTTAGTGCTAGGCAATGTTAGTTCTAGTTTCAGTCCATGTTAGTTCTATAACAGTCGGCGTTAGTTCTATTAGATGCCGTTTAGTGTTAGGTCTAATTCAATTCACGTTAGTTCTAATTGAACTTGAAATTTTTATTTTTACAAGAAAAGGCTTGCTGAAAATAACGCATTTGAATCATTAAGGCTAACTGTCAATATCATGGGTTATTGGCAATTCATGAAGTGTATTGCTCCAAAGATGCGTCAGTGTCACAGGGATGCATATCGCGGATCGATATTTCAGCACTACATTTTATTCGGGGCTCTTGCGCCTGATCGTCCCACGCTTGAACTGCTGCTGAGTTATTATGATAGGGCCAATGACACATTTTGTATCCCTGATTCAAAGACGGGGGGCTTGAAAAGTGTTAAATTTGATTTGCAATGGGTCCATAACCATACATACTTCCCAGCTTATGGGGAAGTCATACGTATCAACCGGGACTCAACAAACAGAATATGGTTGCAATACTTTGCTCATCTTTTTAAAACTAAAGATGGGAAGAAGTTAAAAAAAGCAACAATTACCCATCGCAGATACCTTGAAGGGCAGCTGGAAAGGCTCGTGCAGTCTACAGAAGAAGAGGATATCCAAGATTTTGTTCTGCTGCAAATTCTGTACCAATGCTCTATGATATGGTGCCCCAGAAGCGAGGAGGGTATCCCTAGACCTCTACTCAGATATCTGGATAGCATTGAGAGGGTCAAAAAGATAGCTTGGGCTCAATTCTTTTATACAGAAATTAACAGGGGGATTAAAGTTGCTGTGGAGTGCAAGAAGAAGCCAGGGGTCACATATGTCCCAGGTTGCATGACACTTTTGTGTGTAAGTGCCATGTTTTACTCAATTTGGTTCATTCTAGCTCTGATTCATGCCATGTGAGTTCTAACTTATGTCACGTTAGTTCTGGTTTCTGCTATGTTACTTCTACTTTTCACCACGTTAGTTCTAGTTTCTGCTCATGTTAGTTCTAGCCGTATTCATGTTAGTCCTTATTTGGGTCATGCTGCTAAGCCTTAAATGACATCATATTAGTTCAGAATTGGGTCACGTTAGTTCTAATAAAGTTCGGTTAGTTCTATTGCATCTCACCTTAGTTATAATAATAGGAGGCATGCTAGTTCTAGGTTCTAGTTGGGATCACAATAGTTCTAACGGAGTATCTGTTTGTTAGCTCTAATTTATGCCTTGTTAGTTCTGATTTGAATGCTTAATGTATTTGCTTTAGCTTTGGTACTATGAGATGACGGGGTTAAAGAAATATCCCTACGTCGACAAGTCCAGACCTCCAATGACAAACTGGGCATCAGAAAAGGAGGTGAAAGTCTCATATTTGAGGGCGAGGACCGTTGCATTGAAGGCTAAATCAGCTTCAATAACTGAAGTTGATCGGCCTGTTGTGGAAGTTGGGCCTGCTCCTTCAAATGTTGTTGCACTTCCCGCCGTTCAGGGGAGTGAAGGAGTGCGTCATGTGCCTAAGTTAAAGAGGAAGGCGAGGGCGGAGGAAATGAAGAACTTCTCAATAGGCTATGTAAGTATCATGTTAAGTCTAAGTTGTCTAAAGCTAAATGTAAACAATATCCATGTATGTATAATCCTATTTTATTATAATATAATCTCTTAATAATTTCAGATCATGTCAAAACATATTGACAATGCTTTTGAAGATGAAGAGGAGGTGAAGGATCTACCCATTGAGCAGCAACTTACCTTTTGGAGAAATTCTGCTAAATTCCTCCAACGACTACTCTTTGCCACAAAGCAGAGCAAGAGTACATATTGTAAAGAATTTATGATTGAGATCAACAGGCTAAACAGAATAATTGAAGAACTTGGAAGACCTGATGACGTCATAGACCCGGTGGTGCTGAAGGAAAATATCAAACAAAAAATTATAAAAAAATAAAGCTGAACCCACGGCCTGATGAGGAGGAACATCCTTCCAAATCTAGTAGATTACATAAGGAAGACCCCATCATGCAAGAAGCTGAACATAAGATGGCTGAGGATGATGCCGAGGAGCCTGTTGATGATGTTGCTGTTCATGGATGGGAAGTTGATTTGGAGGGCACCACAATGGAAGGCAAAGTTGTGGAGCCTGTTGGTTCAATGGAAGAAGGAGCTGATGTTGGGAATATAACTGAGGGGAAAGCTATAATAGAAGGGGAAGACGGGGAGGATGTCGCCCCCTAGAAGAATGGTGAAGCGGAACGCCCCGAGAATAAAGCTGTGAAGAATTCAGATAGAGAAGAGGTTATTGTAGATAACAAGGTTGAGGATAATGTAGATAAGGAGGAGGAAAATGTAGATAGGGAAGTGGATAATGTAGATAAGGAGGTGGAAAATGTAGATAGGAAATCAGAGAAGGAAGAGGAGCTTGTTGGTGGAGAAGGGGGGAATGTAGATAGCAGGGTTGAGGAGAATGTACAGAAAGACGCGGAGATTGTGTATAGGGAAGAGGAGCATGTTGGAAGAGAAAGTGAGAATGTAGATAGTTCTGCCGAGGCTGTTGCTAATATTTCACATCAGGTGGACAAAATCTTAGAAGCTCTGTCAAGTGATGTGCAAACAGAGGAGATTGTAGCAGCCACACGGAGGAAGGTTCGAAGGGCAAGCAAGCGGTCTAAATGGTGTAAGACAAAGCAAAAAGTTATTATAGATATACATGCAAGTCCTGATGGTGTACACAAAGCTGACAAAGTTACTAATTTTTATAACGGCAAACAATATCCCACTTGGGATGAGTTGAGTTTGAAGGCAATGACGGCTGAGGAGGAAGGTCTATTAGGCGAGTTAAATAGAGATATTCCAGACACTGCATTGTTTAACATACGTATAATAGATAGCAGGGGTACCTTTGTACATAATTTTAGGATACCATCTGAAGTATCTGCTAGACTCTCCGCAGCTGAAAATAATTGCCTAACCAAGTTTTGCTCCCAAAAGAATCACAAGTAAGGTTCAATTGACTATTTATATGCTAATTCCTTACATGTTAGTCCTAATCCATGTTAGTTCTTATTTTAAGGATAGTTGATTTTATAAAACCAGCCAATAGCACTATGAACAGAGAAGAGCTGTTGTATTTGCTTCGTGGTGGCCGCCTTGATGACAAGGTTAGATTATATACGCTTAATAATGTATAAAGTCTTGTTCATATATTGAATTTTAATGTTTCATTGATGTTACAGATGGAAGAAGCATTGTTGGACACGATCCAGCAAGAGTCATATGACAAAAAATTTGGCGTCGTCTCGGTGTTCTTTCTTGTAAGTACATGTTAGTTCTAAATTATCGTGGTAGTTTTGGCGAAAATGGATGTTAGTTTTAGTTCTAGCGTTAGTTCTAAATTATCGTGGTAGTTTTGGCGAAAATGGATGTTAGTTTTAGTTCTAGCCATGTAAGTTTTGCATGAGCCATGTTAGTTCTAGTTTGCGTCACGTTAGCCTTAACAACTAGAATGTTAGTTCTAGCTAACATGTTAGTCCTAATGTAGAAGCAAGTTGGTTCTATCTTCCCTCATGCATAATACTGAACATTACGTGCTACTATTGGCAGCACTCACTTTACTCCGTCG